ATTCTGTTTGCCGGCACATTTCTGTTGCAATGAAAAAGAAAGCACAATGAAACATTCACTTGCAAATCTGGAATTTCATCTTTTATTGAGGAAAAGAGAGTGATGGAACGGGTGTGAGGAAGCATCATCTGGGGAAACTTGTTGATGGAGGCCAGGGAGGAGGAGATCCGGTGTAGGGATAATCAGAAAATAGTGCTGATGTTGTTTTTTTTGTTTGTTTGTTTATTTGTTTTTTATATAGAAGCAACTTGAAGGAAATAATTGGTTGTGTTGGAACACCAATTATTTAACTCATTTTCTTTATTACATAGTACATTAACGCACACCAGGTGTTAACCACCAGTTAATTAGAGTAAACTGCAACAGTAATGGAATATCACCATGCAACGTTAAAACTGGCAAAGCAGGCTCGTCCCAGCTTGTGAATCACAAAACGAAACGCATAGAGACGGTAAAGAAAAGTCACCTTAGTCCCGCCTTGAACTGTTTTGTGAAACGGATTAGAGACGAGTCACGGGAACGTGACAGCCAGTTCTCCGACTTCCAGCTGTGGTGTGTTCAGAAGGCAAATTTCATGAGCTTTCTAGTCAGGAATATGTCAAAAACACTCCCTGGAATCAGATTTTCAACCTGCAAAGTTTTAGATCTGCAGCAGATCCAAAGTGTGTGTTGCCAGCATGAAACATGCCGGACTTGTCCTACATTGTATCATATTGTACTGTAGGTAGACCCACACCAGCGAACAAATCTCCCCTGTCTTGCAACTTGCAAATCCAACTTGCTACTTGGATGTAACATCAATTCCATATCCGGGCGTTGATTTCTGAGACAAATCGAATGTGCGTGTGTGTGTCCTAGTTGTACTTTGATGTATCTCATTGAACCATTGTTACAACAAAAACAAGACACAGTATCGGGAAAATGTTCCTTCTCGGGTCTGATTGAATTAAATTGAGGGAAAGGCGTTGTTATCGTCTTGTAGTTATCTTCTTGGTTTTCTGACCTACCATTGGAATTTGCTCCTCTTCTGTATTTGGGTGTGACGTCACTGCTAGATCCAAGGTCCAACCTTCAAGACAAATCTGGAGGAGGCAGAAATTTCTCAAATGTTTGTTGTACAGCTCATCTTTTGAAAGACTGTTGCAGAGGATGCGGTCTTCTGCTGTCATCCGTTGAGGTAGCAGCTCAACATTCGATTGCTTACACTAACAGATAAAAAAGGCTGGATCTGTTCTAGAACTTGTAGAGTTGAAAGAAGTAAAATAAAAAACATTCTCTTCAAAAGACTACAGCAAATGTCTTAAGTCCTCATAACCTATAATGACTCTATGATGAAACCCAGATAACTTTTCCCAACAGCAGTAAAAACGTAGTTTTATATTTCAACCACCAAAATGCACTGAACTCCGGCCATTCCTCAGTCGTTTCCAGCTGCAGGTCGCCATTTTTCCCACATGAGGTCGCTGTTTCAACTGCTTTGGTGCTCGTGATCCTTGAAGATATGCTGGGTGATCAGCAGTCAGGACAACAAGATAACAGCACAGCAGGGATCATTATTTTTAACAACTGGGACTGCGGCGACGGCGACGGATATCACAACTACGTCTGGATTTGTCCTCTGCGTTATCACGACAGGGAAACACGCCTTTGATTAAATCAGTTTTTTTTTTGATGGGAGAAAAGGACCTGCTTGGGATTTGGAACTCCTGTGGAATAACGTCCAGCTATCCTCGCTAACATGCGACTCTGCGTCTGAAATAGCACCAGAACGGGACCCCTGGATGTACCTAGCAGCATAGACACACACACACCGAAGGAGTCCAGTGCGTACAGACAACCGCGTACCCTAATGTTGCCAAAGCTATGCGGCGCTTTCGTTTTGCGGAGCTACCCGGTTAGCTAGCTAGCTCGTCGGCTCGTTGGTGCTGCTGCAAGCCGGGGACGCGGCCCTTAAGGTCGGCGTGCGCGCTCACGCCATGCCGGTGGTCGGAAGGGCCTTACTGGCAGTGGCAGTTTCCCTCAGCTATCTTCGGCTAGATGTAGCGGGGCCCCGAAAGTTCCACGTATTAGATTAGTCGCAGGGATATTTGTGTTTAAATTTGAAAACAGCCATGCGATACAACTGAAAACAAAACATACGGAGAGGATTGGTTAGATCGGAGCATCTTCTGCAAGCTCCACATGTAAACAAGCCTGGCAAGTGTGTGTGTGTGTGAGAGAGAGAGAGTCTGTGGTTGAAGGCTAGCACTAAATATTCGAGTTAATCCTTTGTTGTCTGTAACACTAGTTCTAGGTGTTAAAGTTGAGCTCCGAGTGATTCCGTTCAATTCAGTAATGGGCTTAAAAGTCGTGGATGTTGTTGATCTGCAGCGCTGTCAGACATATCAGCCATTCATTCATGATTGATGACCCTTGAGGAAGCAGACTGTCTGCCATCCATTTCCACCACAGCGAAACCACAACGTGAAGCCACTAACACTTTCTGTGCCTCCAATGTTGTTGGGGGCACATTTTCAGGTAAATAACAGAGCATTTTTTTTTAGAGGGGCGTAGTTTGTTTCAACAGCACTTCACTTTTAAAGTCCCCACTGACCTCACTGGAACTCCCTACAGTGTATGGGAACATGAGGGACTGTCTGTTTGATCTGAACCAGCACCCAAGGAGCTTCAAGGACTGATCAAAGCCCAACAGAGAGCCCCATTGTGTGGACTACCAACTGAACGGGGAAAGAGATGGTGATGATAAGAGAGGCCCAGTGACTGTGTTTGATCCCACACCAGGAAGCAGAGGAGTGCAGACATGAGCCTCCGCCAGCCCACATCCACCCTGGACAGGTACGAGCCTGCCGTCCTCTACGTCCAGACGGGGGTCCTGGTATTGGCATCTTATCTCGGGTGCCTGCGTGAAAATGCAGTGCTCTCTTTTTGTATCAGACCGAGGTCCGGTTTGGCTGAGGGAAAAACAGGTCAGACAGGTTGACTTTAGGGATGGTGAAACAGCCTCCCGGAAGAAGAGGGGGCACATTGTGTAGACATGTCAATAGTTTACCGCCTCCTTTCATTTGCCCTCCCACAGTCTGCACCCTACACCCCCGTGTCCTGCCGTGGATTTTTGCCTTTTTAATGTCTTTCCATCACCTGCGCTGTGTTTCTGATCACCTTTGTCTTAATCATGTGTGTTTCCTGTCTCTCTCACTGTTCACTGTTTTCCCCGGTGTGTTCTTATGCTTTCATCCAATGCTTCCCACTACCTTCTTTGTGTGTCATGTGACAGCAAGGTGGCCAGTGAAAAACACACCCACCTATTCAGGTAGGACTACTGCCCAGCAGTGAATGCTCGTGTTTGGGTGTGTGCGGACGATAGTGATGCCCACAGATTGTACCAGGAATGCATATTTGTAAAAATGACACAAAAGTTGACTCTTCCACAGAGTCAAATATATCCATTTTTAAATATGTACAATTATGCGAGCGGCAGGTCACACACAAGTAACACCTGGGTGGATATTCTCTTAGTCTACATTGGCGGTCTCCAGTGCCACTCTTTGACATCTATTGTGCTCCAACTTTTTAAGCTCTACTCTAAAACATCTCACTCGAATGGCTCAGTCACATCTTCAGTATGACATTAGGACTGGATAATGCCAGGTAAGGAGCCATTCATTTTATTGAGGTATATTTGAACAGGCTTGTATCTAAAAGTTGATGGACAGCAACTTTTCCAGACTGGAGTTGGAGACTACTGGCTTAGATCATTTGAAAGAATGAGATCGTTGTCATTGGATCTTGTTGAGCTTTTAGGAATGAAGGTACGCTTTTGGTAGGTTGATAATTTTTGCTCCTGTTGGCTGAAGTGAAATGCACTAGCATTTTTCATTCTCTATTCTGATATGACTCGATGATCATTCGGCTTTCTTTAGGGCTGCTGAATGTCTCTCAAATTTACCTTCATCGTGACACCGGTGTGTGCAATGATAATGTCACAAAAGGCTGTTTGGACTGCTGTAATTGTTGGCTAATAGATTTTGTTAAGAACTTGTATTTCACATTCCTTCTAGATTCCACACCTGACAAAAACGAGTCTCCGATATGTTAACAATAACAGAGTTTTGGGAGCACACACGAAAAAGCCAGATACTGTAGCTAAAAGGATGAAAATGTCAGGAAAATCGTACTGAAATAGTTGAATAGTATTTTAGGTTGACTAGACCCACTGTAGTTACTATATAAAGAAGGATACTGGATCAAAAGGTGCCTAAAACAAAGCCTTCATCCAAGTCTTCACTGCACAAACACAACGTATGTTTTACATAAGACAAAACAAACTTAAAAGAACTTTTCAGCTGACAAAGCACTTGTTAAAAAGTCCAATAATTCTTTAATATTGATTAAAAAGTCCTAGACCCACTGGCAGATTATTACTTATAACCAGACATTTGTCCTCTTCTGCTCTCTGCCCGCAATCAGGTCGGTATGTTAGTTTTCCACTGATTACGTGATTGGACATTGCACAGCTGCTGCTGCTTCCTACTGTCTTACGTCGGTCCCTTCAGAAAAATAAACACTGAGATCCCCCCTACACCCCCACCTCGGCTCAGTCATTAAACATTAAATTGTCCCAATAACTCTTCCAATATGCGGGGGAAGTGCACACAGCCTGCAGTCGTGTTTTTAAATGCTCTCTGTGAACCTTGACCCTTAAACATGTGTATACGCTGTTCTTTTCATCACTTTTAAACTGAAAGTCCTGACTGCTCTCGAGTGTTTGCAATCCGGAGGAAAGGGTCTGGTTTGAAAAAGCTTTCCCTCTTCTGGCCTGTTCAAGTCTCCATGTTTGTTGTTCTGAATCTGTTTCTCTGTGTTTCCTTCTTTTTCGTCATGCTTCGCTTTCAGCCCTTTTGCTGCTTGGTGAGTTGTTTGTGCCCACTGTTTTCTTGTTGGTGTCTGTGTTCAAATCTCATGTGAGATCTTCTTTGCATTGTGTCTCTTCCTTCACTTGCTGCTTCTCATTGCAAGGTTTGCTTTGTACTTTGTGGTCTGCTCCAGTCTCTTCTCATTTTTCTCTTGTTTATCGGTTCTCATTACCTCCAGACTTCTGTCTTTTACTCTAAATTGGTGTAATTGTACGCTTAGATGCTCATTTTTTTTTTGTTTTTTGGTCTTTAAACTCAGGCTCAACAGTTTCACAACTGGCGATTCGGAGCGCAGAGCCCCTGCCAGCCAACAGAGAGAGGTGACTATAGACGAGAGTTCAAGTAAGTACACGCTTACTACTCAGGCTCGTGAACAATCTCTTGGCTGTAGCACCGTAGTTATTTTCGCCTGTCGAGCTCAACCGTGACTTTCCCCTCGCGGCCAGGTCCTGGTCTGGTCCACAGATGTGTGGTGGTGCAGAAGGACCAGCTCGGTTTCGGCTTCACCGTCTGCGGAGAGAGAGTCAAGCTTGTGCAGAACGTCCGACCAGGTGAGAATTATTTTTAAGGATATCCTAGTGCTTCATGCGGATTCACTACCACAGCATATCTAGGTGTATATATATCAAGAAATATATACATCATCTATGTATGTTCAGAATGAAAACAAAGATTACCTAGCTAAAACATTTATCGTGTTGTTTCTCAGTGAATCAGTCTGGTGTTTTAGAGTCTTGTGCTTTCGGTTTTGTTTCATTAGTTCAGCTCGATTCAGAGAAGCAGAGAGCAGCGATTTGACAAGGAAGTGGAATCACAAGTTTCACCTCACCCTTCTCCTTTCCCTGTTATCGTCCTGCTGGCTTTCTCACAAGTTTGGTTAGGCAACAAAGTCCACTGCTCGGGATTGTTTTCCCAGCTCTGAACTCTACTGCCTCCCTCTTCAGGGAAGAAAAAAAATACAGGAGTTGCTGCAGACATTCAGCCAACTTCACCAAGCCCAGGAAAGATACAAAATGGATCGATTTTTAGTACCTAAAGCTGGATGGAGTAGGGAGACAGAGTCTAAGTCAAGCAAAAAATCATTTAAAATAAGGAAGGATGACCATAATTATGTAAAGTTTGGATATTCATGAGCTGGATCTGAAGACTGACAGCGTTGTCAAGGTTATTTCTCAAACACTTCGAAAACACCCGCTCCATGCCATTGATGTCGCTTTCACAGTAGAGTTGCTTTAAACGAACCAAAGTGTTGACCAAACATGCACCCTGGTGCAGTTGGTTTACAATGGGAAACAAAACACTTTTATATTCAGGGAAACCAAAGAGAGGACATGATGGGTCTTATTGTTACGGCTGACACACAAAACGAGGATCTGAAAACGTTTAAATCCTGGCAATGACTCCATCTGCATCAGGACACACTCCCTGGCTTACTGATGTTACTGGGAAGTGGCTTGTTACAGCTCCCCCAAATGGACAGGTGGTGTAACTGCAGGATGCTGTCCTGGAAGTAGGGGTGGACCATACGGACTTTTAAGTTTCATCACGATATTCTGTGGTACTTTTACGAGATGACAATAAAAGTGACTATTTATTCCTCCTTTGTCAGGGAACTGTATGACTGTGATTGCGTGTCACATCAATTATAAACCCACAGGCACAAACAGTGCTCTTGAGAATTGTTCCCATTTGCTCACAGTAACTTCATTTAATCATGTTTTTAAGTGTATTGACATTTACTAACCTCTTATTGAACAAGCAGTCGAGAAAATGGTAACTAACAATTCCAGCAATACTGATGGTTTTGGATGGTTTTAAACATTGTTAATTTGGAATTTATTGTTAAAGCGATAAATCTAAATTGTTATCGCCATAAGAAATTTACCACGATAAATGTTAAACGCCCAGCTTCGATTGAAAATTTGGATTACTTTCACAACTTCAACATGAAAGTGAACCAAAAACAAAAATACACCTAGTAGATCTGGACTAAAACTGAGAGACACATGATTTACTGTTTCCCTTCGAAAAATAACAGACATGCGAATGCAAATTACACTCATTTGGATCCCACAGTCTTTTTACTCTCTGCAAAGTCCGGTGGACTGTGTGTGTTGTTACGGGAACTGACGGTCTGACAGGACAACCCCACCGCTTCCCCGTTTTCCGACCATCACATTTGCCGCGCTAAGACAGCGAGAGGGTTAAATAAGCTTTATAGTTTTTTGTTGTCATTTGAGGTCATTTGACCTACGACCTCCTATAGTTTCTATTCATTGCTTGACTTGCATGCTTGATCTCCATTTTAGGTGGCGCTGCAGTCAAAGCTGGGGTCCATGAGGGGGACCGGATCATCAAGGTTTGCATTTCTCCGTCTGAAACTTTTTTTTTTTTTTTTTCAATCTGGAAGTGTTTTGAGATTTTTTTTTCTTTGTGTGGACTTTGCCTCTCAGGTGAATGGTTCACCGGTCTCCACCATGACTCACCAGGAAGTGGTAAAGCTCATAAAATGTGAGTTTGACCAGCTCCGCCGGATTGGTGTTCGCAGACTCAGGTTTTATTAAAGCCGTCCTGTTGTCCTGCAGCCGGACCGCACGTCGCCCTAACACTACAAGGACCGCCCACGTCTGCCACCTCCGTGTGCCCTTGGAGCCTCTCCCATCAGACCCTACGCCCAATCAGAGGTCTTCCCTGGCTGGGGAGGGTCCGCCCCCTCCTCCACCTCTACCCTCCGGACTGGGCAGCACCCCATCACAAAGAATCACTGGACCCAAACCGCTACAGGTGAGGGGAAAACCTTTAAAAGTCCCTTTTGAATTACATTTGTTGGTTTAAAAAAATTTGTCAAACATTCTTTTTTTTTTGTCTAAAAATGGCTGCTGAATGTATTCGTAGGATCCAGAAGTGCAAAAACATGCAAGTCAGATACTCAGGAAAATGTTGGAGCAGGAAGAGGCTGAACTCCAGGTAGGAATTCTGACACAGAAAAATCCATTTAATTGTTTGAAAGTCACAACATTTGCGGCATTAAGCTGCTTGTTTCTGCAGGACTTCATGGAGGAATTTTCGAAGAACCCGTCGCCGTCGCTGGAGGAGCGGATCGAGAGCGCCAAGAGGAGAGCTCACCAAGTCCGGGTCAAGATTCAGAATCAGGTCAGCAGAAAAAGAAGCAGCGAAAACAAAAAGAAAAGGTTAAGTAACAAGCTATACCAGGATGGGATGACTACGTCGATTACTTTGTTTCCTTTTCTTCTTCTGTCTTTTTCCTCCTCAGGAGGGAACGGGATCAGAATCTGTCACAAACTACATCCAAGCAGGAGAAGGTTTGTCTGCTTTTAAATGATTAAGTCAATGTAAAACTTTAATTAAAATAAAAAAATCAATATAAAAAAATAAGAAATCAGACCAAACTTGATTTCCCATTTTAATAGATTTATTTTGTTTAGAAAAATTTTAGATTAGTGTGAGAGGACCAGGAAACCATAAGACCTTGAATTTTCCTCCTGGTACGTTTTGAACAAATGTAGGACTGCATGCTGATGGGCATAAATATTTAGTTTATCATTTTTTTCAGTTTTAAATTTTTATTGTCTGTTCAAAATCAATGAATTAATCTCAGAAATTTTCTAGAAAGAAACTTCCAGCAAATTTTTGACTTTTGAAGCTCAGAAATTTCCCAAGTTTTTTTTGTAGAAAATTAGATTAATCTCAAATTTCTCTTTTTTTCTTTTTTTATTGAAGGAAATTTTCTCCTCCTTTTCTTTTCTATTTCTTTTTTTCTCTCTTTCTACCTGTAATGTAGAAAGAGAGAAGCATCTACATCCCTACCTTGTTAGGGATACAGATGCTTGCCAGACTTCAGATTTGCACAAAGAGAGATGATGTTTTTGCAGGAAGTTGTTACAGATCTTCCTGTTCTTTCACAGGACGGCTGTCGATGGACTCCAGTGAAGGAGACTTGGAGGTAACGCCCTGTTGCTGTGGGTGTGTGCGTGTGCATGTGAATGTCCACTCATCCCGTTCCACTCATCCTGGCTCCCTCTACCCGCCCTCGCTCTCTCTTCCCCTCCCGTTGCCCCCCAGGCCTTTGAGAGTCCCAGCTCCTCCCCCTCATTACCCTTCAGGACCCCCTGTCACCGACGCCAGAACTCGGACACACACACCCTGTCTGACACGGTGAGACAGACACATATTCGCTTCCATTTTTGTTTCCTCTCTCTCATTCATTTATTCATTCATTATTTACTCATTTTTTGCGACAACTGTTGCTCTGTCGTTTTACCGAAACAGGAGCGTTGTCACGCACTCCGTTTGCAACACTTTGATTCACTCGGCTTATTCAAAAAATCTGTGTCACAAAGGAAAAGTAAAAAAAGTGTTTCAGACTGTTTAGGCTTGTTGTTTTCTGTCTAAATGCAATGAATAAATAAAAGCAACTCTTGATGCGTTTTAGAATGCAGAATTAAATTGTTCTTTAATCTGATTCTGTCTCAGGGTGTCAAAGCCCAGATCATCAGCCCTGAGGATGAAGATGAAGATGGTGATGGTTATGCCTTCAATGAGGTGTGTGTGTGTTATTTTTATTTTTTTTCTGTTTAATTTTCCCCAAATCACTTGACCGCTTTTCATCATGACTTTGCTTTCATTTCTGCCCGTTGATAGATGGACGGTCCCTTCCAGGACATCGAGTTGTTGAAGTCACGGCCGGCACACATGACGGTGTTCATGAGATACGTCTTCAGCCAGCTGCTGGACCCAAACCCTCTGGTCAGTTCAGAGCTAAAGAGATTTGCTCTAATTAACTAATTATATATGACCCTCTCTGGTTCTCTTGGGGCTTTTTGCTGTTCTAAAATGGTTGAAATTTGAGTCAGGAGTATGTGTTCTGGCTCTTTTCTATTAGATGTTGCTTTCTTAATATGCATAAACAGGGATTTAATTTAACATTTTTTTTCTGTTTTATTCTTGGAGCCAACGTCCGTTTTACTCTTTAAGACGTCAGAAGTAAAGAAAGGTGCATAAAAGGGCAAAAAAGTGATTGCGTTACAGGAACAGTCACCTTGGATACAAAGTACAGAGCAGAAACCAAGAAAAAAGTAGCAAGGTCTCCAACCAACATGTCTCAGATGAAAAACAGGTTGATATGTTAATGTTTCTGTGAGGAAGAGGAAGGTTGGAGAACAGAATCTTGGGGAGACGTAGTAGTCTGGCACCAAACCCAGGAGCTTAAAAGCTCACTAGCATTAGCCCTGTCTGCTGTAATTAAAGAGCTGTTATGTAAAATGGACATTTTTGAGCTTTACATTATGTCATAATGTCATTCCCTCATCACAAAACATAAATGGAGTGCTGCTGTGACTCTTTCAAGCATGTCTGAGAGCTGCGGTTTCCAAGCTTGTGGCATTTGACTCCCCACTCAACTCCTTCAGACTAGCCAGCAGCAATTAGCAAACCCCTGGTGTCGCCGGACATCTTCAGAGCTCATCAACGGAGCTGCTTCTCAGTGAAACGCCGATGGAAATGTTGTTAAAGGGTTAATAGAGCAGCCATGTTGTGATAACTTCATGAAGCCAAAGTTTCAGAAAGAGTAGCTAGTTTTTAAAGAGACAGAGGCTCAATTTCAAGGCGTTCAATTACAAAGTAAAACTTCTTTCAAGTCATATTTGACGTATGTAACATATTTTTTTTACACAACTGAAGGTAACACAGTGCCATTTTAAGGCACAATAAAGTAACAATGTGCCTGGGAAACACATCATCCAAACTGTGATTTAGTTTCTTCCATTCTCCTCCTCCCCTCCACAGCTGTTCTACCTGTCTGTAGAGGCGTATTTAGGCTCCTCCCCTAAAGACGCCCGCGCACTCGCGCCTCAGATCTGCTCCCACTTCCTGGATCCTGATGCTGTACGTATCCATGTATCAACTAATGTTTTCTCTGTGATAATAAGAGATTGACAATGGTAATAATGTTGTTTCTTTTTTTTTTTGTAAAATGTGTAAATAAATGGATCATTAAAATTTTAACCATATTGTCACACCTCCAACTCATTCCAACATTTTTCTCACAGCCCTTGAAAATCAAAGTGCGTGAGGAATTTCTAACAGAAATAGGTAACATTAATAATAATTCATTAATAATCTGTTGTGATGCCAGTTATTTTTGTGCATGCTTTCATATTCTGTCATTAATGTTTGTTTAACGTCAGAGAACCGCCTTCACGCCCAGGAGGACATCAGAGGGCCTCTGTCTGAGCTGCAGCAGCAGGTTCTGCCGGACATCCAGGACCAGATTCAAGACTACAGGTGCGTCATTCGAGGATGCTGCAGTCCGAAACTCAACACCGTTTTCCGTCCATCATGTCTGCTCTGACTGAGTTCAAGCTCTACAGAGTGTTTGTTTTGTTGCTTCGATCAATGCTACAGTGTCGTCGTTGATCATGACCCTCACTAAACGTTCGGTGAGAACAAGAGCGGTTGCAAAAACGCTGGAGGTACAAGTCTGAGTCTGAAGGGCATGAATTCAAACACTGCAGATTCTTTGTCGGACTCTGGCTTTGAACTTCGTCTAGTTCCACTGTCTATCTAAAGGTTTAGTAACATTTAAACCTTTGGAAAAATTCAGAGAAATGCAACAGTCATGCCAACTTTAACAAAGGTGAAAAAAAATATATTTTTAGAATATTAATTCTGCTTCTTAACATTTCAACTCTACTCCTTCTCTAAAGACTGAGAAGGAATAGATGGAGAGAAGCAACAAAGCCAGCTTGATGTAATGGGCACAAAGCCAGGTTTGCAGTTTTTGCTATGATTGATTGTAATGCAACAAAACCCCAAAACTCCCCCATGTTTAGATATTGTGTTTTTCAGCCTTAAATTTTCTTTAAAGTGGCATTAAAAAGATCTTGTGGAATCTGAGGCCGGCAGACTCTCTGCCTCAGTTGCTTTTGTAACTGGATCTTCAAGCTTGTGTGTGACGCTCATTTACTGCAAGTTGTAAAACCGCTACATGTATAGGATTCTGTTTTCTGTTTCCTGGTAAAGAAACTCTTTATTTTATAGCCATTTTTTTCTTGTTTTTGTTTTGTAGCCTTTTGAGTTTGTGTTCATGTCTCCTGGCAGGAACAAGCAGATGATCGGTCTGGGCTCCCTGTTTGGAGAAGGAGATCTGCTTCAGCTGGACGGAGACCCCCTGAAGGAGAAGCATGTGGTGGACAGACAGGTCGCCGCTCTCTGGGAGATTCTGTGAGTCATGAGGCTGCCTTCACGAATGGCGGTCCGTGGTTTTCCACTTTGATCGGCTCACTTTGACGTTGAGAAATCCTTTTTAAAGAGAGCGAGAAAAAAAAGACGCTTTTCTCTTGGGAGCTGAAGTTGATTTTCTGTCTCTGCAGCAGATCCACCTGCTCAGGTGTTTATTGAGTTCTATAAAATAGTTAATCACAAAGCAGCAGCAGCAAAATGAGCATAGCAAAGGTCGTTGCTCCAGACGTAAAGCCTGAAAGCCATGTGACACTTGCGCTTTCGGCTTTTTACACACACCGTCAGATTCTCTGTCACATGACTGAGACTTGCAGGGCTTCTGTTTCTGACGCCTGTGGATGTAGCTGAACCGCTGCAGATCCAATCAGTAACCTTTTTTTGGTTCTGTTTTTTTCCCCGTTCCAGATCAAAGCATGAAGAGGACAGAAGGTAAACGCGCGTTTAACGGCTATGCGACACTTAAACAGCTTTAAGTCTCTTCGTTGGCCTCATCGCGCCGGCTCTCTCTCCGTTCACTGCAGCTCTCCTCTGGCCTCGGCTGTCCTCCTCTACCTGCGACACTCCGGCATCAAGCTCAGAGACTCCAAGGTCTTCCTCGGCCTGAGCACGGAGAAGGACAAGTGGCTGGCTTTTCTAAAACCCAAAAAGGTAAAGTCAGGGCCGGATTCCTATCTGCGCTGGTAAAAATGAATAAACAAATAAGCGTCTGATTCGAGAAAAGCAGTCGCTGCTGCACACGTAGTTCATCTTTAACCACGGAAGAAGCGAGTTTTTTTCTTATTTTTATAGCTTTGGCCCCTGAAATTTAATGGATGTCTTAACTTGAAAGCCTTGAAAACTCCAAGCTGTTTGGTTTTCAATAAGCGCTGAACTCTGGTCTCAGTCAGCAGAGTGTTTATGTGCACTGCAGAAACACAAAATCCCACCGAGGATTTTTGATCTGGTTTCTAGCTCAAATATCTTAGTACACTTCAAATAAGACGAAACTAACCGAAAAGTAACATTTTAGCACAGTGTAGAAGTTTGTTTTAAGTCAGCAATCCCTCAATATTGATGAAGAAGTCCGAGTTGGCACATTATTGAGCTGAAAACAAAATATAAGACCATCTTAGGGCAAAATCTAAGCTTTAAAAAATTGCAACTTTTTGAAAAAAAGATGCTGTAATATCAATAATTTTAGTTCTGCAACATCCTGGAAGGACTGGATGGGGATTAGCACAAATTGGCCCTATATATTCAAAATCATGCAGGTTCTATAACATGTACAAAAAAAATTTAATGAATTTAGTGTTCCACTTATCACCTGAAAGTTTCACTTCCTGTTGAGGTCTGAATAAACGGTATGAGCAACCGATATGTCTAAATACCAAATAGTTTTCTCTTAAATTGCTTGTTCAGTTGCCGGTTGTAGCCTTCCTTCTGCAGTCACAGCATCCACAAAGAAGGGTGTTAAAGTAGGCATGACTCGGCGCTTTCTCACGGTGCGTTCACTGCCCGGAAAAAGGCTGGAGTTTATTAGAGTATCAGTTTAATATTAAACCATGAACAATATGAATTTTATCTGTGAACAACAGCACACTTTGCAACTTGTTTTCCTTTTGTTTTCCGTGTTTTTCTAGAATCCTATTGGAATATCAGTTCTTTTTGCCGTCTTTATCCCTTTTAACATCATGTAACACGAATGTGAAACATGATACATGAGACTGCTTCGAACTGGTTATGTTTTTTTTAGTGTTTACGCTCAAGAAAGACGGGGGAAAAAAATCCCTCACTGAAGTTTTTGCCGTTTTAGTACAGATTTTGAGCAGCCGGATGTAGAAAAGAAAAAATATGTTTACAATCAATTTCTCTTATGGCAGACAAGCAGCACAAAGAAAGAGAAAGATGGAGAGGATAAGAAGAAAAACCCCATCCTGAAGTACATCGGCAAACCCCGGAGCACATCTCAGTCCAGTAAAGAAACACACACACACACACACACACACACACACACACACACACACACACACACACACAACACACACACACACACACACACTATATGAAGTGAACCTCATATAAATATGAGATCGTCTATTTACAGCAAATGATTCATTAAAATGATCCTGTGACATGTATTTTATACAGAAAAGCAACAAATATTTCTACTAGTAAACAAATAATACATTAACTTATACAGTTTGTTTTCCTAAAACTGGAAATATGTTTTATAAAATCGATTTCTGTCTTGAAAAGTGCTGTAGCCTTCTTTCAATCAGCTGACCTGGCAGTGTGCAGCTATAGGTTGCTCTGCTGATCTGTGTTCTATAAAGTTTTAATATCTTGTTATTTTTAATTGTTTGCAATAACTAGTGATAGAAAACACCCTGAAACTCTCCTTTCCACTGTTCATGTCCAATCATAATAATTTCATTTTGGTTTTTGTTCACCATGTTGTTTCACTTTTTTTATTTTCCTCTCTCTAATAATTATTAATTGACTCATGATTTAATTGTTTCTTTTTCGGCTCATTTTTGGTTTTGTAGCATTCCACGTCCCGTTGTCACCCACAGAAGGTACATTATTATTTTTTTCCCTCTTGTGTATAATTTCACTTTTGCTTTTTCAATGAAAAATCTGTTCTTCATCAGTTGATTATGAGGTGGCACTTACTGTAGACTTAATTCCAAACCTAGTTTCTGTCTTTTTGTTGTTTTTGTCGTCGTGCTGAACCGAGATGTGTTTTGCAGTGCGTTCCGGCAGCGTGAGGAACATCATTCAGCAGTTCGAGAACCACACAGAGCTTCCAGGAGAGGAGGACGGGGATGCTGTGGACCCCCAGAGGTTGTCCTCCAGCAGCCTGGGAGAGGAAGGCATGGACAGGTGACTGTCCCAAAATGAATTACCTAAAATCAAGGCATTAATATGAGAATAAATGTTAGTCACAGGTCTTAAATTTGGTCATGGAAGGCTATTTTAATTTTTTTTTTCTCAGCTGACTATTCTGTCAGGCAAAAGTTTGAGTAGCACACAGGCTACCAGCAGCTATCTGCTAATGTTCCCTTGCTAGCTTAAATTTTGTAGTGGCAGGACTATTTGATCTAGTTTTGTTTTTTTCTTATTCAGGGGACTTTTCTGTTAGGTGAAAGTTTGAGTCGCATGCAAACTTCTTCATTGCATTCTGTGACTCAAGATAGTCAGGCTAAAAGCAGCTAGCAGCTAATATACTGTTGCTAGCTTAAATTTAGTCATGGCAGGAGTATTTAATGTAGGTTAATTTTTGTTGTCAGACTAATTTGTCAGGAAAAAACTTTGATTCACACGCAAACATCTTCATTACAGTCTAAGTCTAGGTGGTCAGATAGGCTAATGATAGCTAGCTGCTATGATTAAATTTTGTTGTGGCAGGTGTATTTAATGTAGTTTTATTTTCTCGCTGGTCTTTTCTGTCAGGTAAAAGTTTACATCTTCATGCATTGTGACTCAAGGCGATCAGGATTAGCTAGCTCCTTAGCCAGCTAGCATTAGAGTTTTTGTGAACCTTGATGGTAGTGCAGCACAATTCCTCACCATCATATTTTTTCTGTTTAAATTTCATTCAAGATGGCATTACAAAGGACTTAATTTTAACTTGCTGAGACCGGCATGTACCTTGACGTTTCCTGGTTTTCTCTCGCAGTCCCACGGTCTTGGTGCGTCTGGGGCGCAGCGGGTCGCTAAAGGCTCAGGGTGAAGACCGCCGGCGGGGCACTGTCTCCAGCGGGGACTCGGTGCCCCGCTCTCGCAGCGACGTGGACATGGAGGACTGCGAGGAGAGGGACCAACCGGGCCTCCGGCTGCTCCAGCACAGCGCCTCGTCATCCGCGTCCAGCAACTCCGCTAGGTAAGGATTCTCGCAGTCAGACTTCTTCTGTAGTCTTTTTTTTCCAGTTAGCAGCTCTGAGTCCAGGGGTCTCGCTCAACAGCCGCTCACATTCCCCTGATCTGGGTAGCTTCTTCCTCACGCCATCTCTATTTCCACTCTCCCACACTCAGGTCTCTTGAGAACCCTACACCCCCATTCACCCCTCGGTCCAGACGCAGGTGAGTCAGGATTAACAAAGGATCACCCAGAATGAGGGAAATTAGGAGCCCAGAGGAAGAAATGGGGGCATTTTTTGTTCATAATGGCCATCATGGCTTTAAGTCATGGTTGACTCTGGAAATATGAATCATTTCAAATAATTGTCTTCCTGTTCTTCTCTTCATCCACGTTGTTTTCTTGTTGTTCCTCCACTGTCATTTCTCGAACCCCATCTTGACTACCCTACAGGAGTGTGGACTCACAGCTGGCCCTGCTGCCAGACGCCGCGGTGCTGGAGGACGAGGTGTGTGACGGTCAGAACTGGAGGGACACGGTTCCTCCTGAGCTCCTGGCGACCCTCAGCCCCAGGGAAGTGGAGCGGCAGGCCGTCATTTACGGTACGGTTGGCGTTCACCGAGATTTACGACAAAAAGATGTATGGTCAGGAATTTATTTGTCATTTTTGACTTCCCTTTGTTTCAAACAGAGCTGTTCACCACTGAGGTGTCCCACCTTCGGACCTTACGGGTTCTTGACAAGGTTTTTTACCGGAAGATGAGATCTGTGCTGAACTCAGAGGAGCTGGCCTGCATCTTCCCAAACCTGCCTCAGGTCTACGAACTCCACGGTCAGTCGGGGTGTCAAAGTGTCGTCAGGCTACAGTGCTAGAGATATTTTTATGGAACGGAAAACTCTCATATAGTCACGGTTTTATCACAGTACTATTTTAGAAATACAAAATTATCTATAGGACTCGAAGCCATTTGTAAGAAAACGTCTGGAAATGACACCTTTTTGGATATTTAATCTCACTTTAACAGTCAGCGTTAGTGTTGTACTTACTAGAACTGAACCAAACTACTGAATAAATTATCTCACATGTTACAAGCTGTTTGTAGAGCAACTTTTCTAAAATGCAAAGTCTTCAATTTCAAGTCTGTAACAAGTGACATGTTCTTGTGTCTCAAATGTTCTGCAAAAGGTTGCAACTGCAATTGCAAAGCAGTAAAACAGTGATTGAAATGACTGATCAGTCATTTAAGAATAGGCATTTAACCTTAGCGCGAGAACATATCAAAAATTACACATCAAATCACAGTCAAGGTACATTCTGCTAAAGATGCTATAAAGTCTGATGAAGTAACTGGTTCACCTATGATGTTTCTGCTGGAGAGCTTTTCATCAGCTGCTCCTACATGCTAAAATAATTAAATTCTATGTTGTTCTGATCCAAAAATTATTTTGTTACACATGAATACACACATGCGACTACTGTAAGATGTGCTGCTTCTTCTAATAGTTTTCATCTGAAGCAGTTTGCTGAGACGCTAGGTAACGTTAGCGCGTCTACTTTCTGTTTTGATAGGACTCATTGATATTCCGATTTGTAATACATTTCTATGCGTTTCCAGTTAAGACAGAAAACGTTCTTCTCCACTTAATAATCTCAGCGTTTAGCCTCGAACAGTGTAACGTTTAACTACTACTGTTTCAGCTGCTCTCTGCAGAGTTTTTAACTACATCTAGAGACGACTGTGGAGTCAGTTTTATGCTTCGCTGTGACTAAATGTCCATGCTGTATTTCTGCCCTGATGTTGATGTTTTTTTTCTACCTACTTAGCGAGTCTTTGTGAGGAGATGAAGAAGCGAAGAGAGAGCCCCATCGTTCAGAACATCGGAGACGTCATGCTGGCCAAGGTGAGCCACTCCTGCTGTGTTTACGAAACTCTCCTGGGACTTAAGCTGAACTAAGACAGAGTATTTTAATAACAAACACTCCAAGCATACAGGTTTAGCATCCTTTTTTTCTCTTCCAAAAGTGGCCGCTGAGTTATGCTCCCTTTGAAATACCAGGGGATTTCAAATGGGAATCTGCTGATCTTTCCTTTTCACTGACCTAACCCTGCTTTTCAGGTTGAAGGCGCAGCTGGGAACGAGTTCCAGGAGCAGGCGTCGCAGCTGTGCTGCCAGCAGACTCAGGCTCTGGAGCTCATCAAGAACAAAAAACGGAAGGATCAACGCTTCGCCCAAATCATCCAGGTCCGCACGCCCACTGACTCCAGAACAACTGGAAAAAACCTGTCTTGATCCTCAGACATGATTTAATGCTTTAAGAAAACATAAAGAAAGACTGAGGTTTGCTTTCGCTGACGTTTTTGCTGACATGTCTCCGGCTCAGGAGTGCGAGGCGAGTCCTCAGTGTCGGAGGCTGCAGCTCAAAGACCTGCTGGTGTCTGAGATGCTGAGACTCACCAAGTATCCTCTGCTGCTGGACAAGATCATCAAATACACAGAGGGTGAGGGAGACTCAGTGGAAATAATCTGCGACTCTAAAAGGAAGTCGAAAACAGTTGTACTAGCATTTACTTATAAAGAGTTATCTTACCTGCAGTTGTATGAAGATAACGACTTAATTTACCTGCGGTTTTCTCAAGATAAGTTGATTTGATGGAAAAAAAATGCGTTACATTTTTGGGAAAAAGTTGATGCGAGTACATTCACTCTCAGCTTCCATTGAAACCTGCTCATATCTAGTTTCTTGTTTGTTTTTCTGCAGGCGGGTCATCGGACCTCCCGTCGCTGCAGCGCGCCCAAGCTTGTTGCCGAGGCATTCTGAAGGCAGTCAACGAGGACGTGAGGGAGACGGAGCATCGTCAGCGCCTCAGTCAGTACCAGCGCCGGCTGGACGTCGCGCCGCAGTTGAAGGTGGCGCCAAACGTTTTTAATGCACCGCCCTGGTAGCGTCCTCCGTTCATCAAGCTCCGTTTAAAGCTTCTTCTTTCCTCACAGAGTCTGGACCTCACCGCGAAGAGAATGATTCACGAAGGTCCTCTCGTCTGGAAGATCGGCAAAGACAAGCAGATAGGTCGGTATTCCTCCCGCCGATCGGCTGACGTCGGCCGTGGCATCCGCTTCATCTCGTGTCTGCGCTCGTTCCTCAGAGATCCAAGCGCTGCTGCTGTCGGACTGCCTGGTCCTCCTCCAAAAAGGCCCCGACGACCGGCTGCTGCTCCGTTATCCGTCCCGCTGGATGGGAGGAGGAGGAGTGGTCATCGCCGACAACAAGACCTCCTTCAGTCCCCTGGTGAAGCTGGACTCGCTGCTCGTCCGCTCCGTGGCTACGGGTACGGTCTTCGCTAAAGTTTGGACGTCCTTTACTTTTCCTGTCTTTTTTTTTTATGACAACTTTGGGTACTTTTTTTTTTTTCTAGACAAAAAAGCGCTGTACATCATCAGCACCAAAGAGACGCAGATTTACGAGCTGGCGGCGGGGTCGCCGTCTGAGAAAGACACGTGAGCAGATTTTTTTTTTCTGTTCAAGAAGACACGACATCCTTCTTCTGTCCACCTGTAGAAGTCACATTTTGCTTCACTCTGTCTAAGTGGTCCGCTAACCTTTTTGCTATTTGATTCACAGCTGGAAGGATTTACTTGAAAAGACCATCAAAGCTTTAGATCCACAGAGCAATCACGGATCACTTCCTGTGTCGTGAGTATATATGTCGAGAATAAGAAACCAGGGAAAAAAACAGTCCCTTCATGTTCCTAGTTTTAGTTAAATCGCATGTACATGTATTCATTCGGTATGTGTATTGTTTTGTCCAGTTCTTCCAGCCTACGCAGCAGTTCACCAGCCTTAACTGAAGGTAAAATATCTTGATGGAGAAGGGGAACAAAATCTTTTAATATGGTGTTTTCCTGCTATTCTTACAATCTCAGATGAACGGCAACACTTAAAACACATTAGTGTAGCTGTTTTAGTTAAAAAAGAAACCCAGAAAAAAACAATTTCAACTGGTTGGCACCTAGAGTTCCGACTACATTTGTTTCTAGGGACAAATACCGTAGAAAAAGTTCACATTAAAATGCAAATTTATTTAAAAAAATTTTTTGTTTCTAATCCACCAGTCCGTTCTGCAGAGGAGCAGTCGGAGTTTATCGGGAGCCACGGCACCGCTGACGACGGCATGCTGGGTGACCATCTCGCCGACCAACCTGAAGCCAACAGCAGCGAAGAGGAGCGGGCAGCGGGCGTGGCCGAAGCGGCTCTGCACGACGGTGGGGAGAAATCGGGACGCAACAGAGTCAGGAAGCAGCATTTTTAGTTGATGTTGGACTTGCTGTCGATTCTCCTCCAGTGGAAACGCTGCGGCGGCTCCTGCTGCCGGACGTGGACGAGGACCGGAGGAGCCACGATACGGACGACACCCCCACCAACACCATGAGCAACGGGAACGCCGACAGACGACGGCAGGACTCCCTGGAGACCGTCCTGGACCTCTGCCTGAGTGAGCCGCGGCCCAGGCAGCCGGAGGCTCCGCCCCCAGAAAGCAGGCAGACCAGCGCCAAGGTGGTCCGGCGAGGTAAACGGATCGCAGGGAGGACGAACGTCCACTCCGATCTCTTAATCCTCACTTGCTGATGATCAAACCGAAGGCGACGTTTGTCTTTTAAATCTGGGTGTCTTTGCATGTTTCCTTTCAACTTGTGATTATAATTTTCTTTCTCTCTCTCTCTTTTTTTATCATTTGCTTGCAACAACAAAACCCCCCACAAAACTTGCTTCTTATTCCTCCCCCTTCTTTCACCCTTTTACACACTTTTCCTTCACACACACATCTATCCTCTGCGTAGCTGTGGTTGCGGGTGCTCCTCCTCCTCCTCCTTCTCCTTCTGCCCCTGATGGCACCGCCGGCGATGTTAGCCTCCCCTCCGATCTGTCGTCACAGTCTAGAGGCGAGGCCGACACGCAGGGTAATGGAGACCGAACCTGCTTCAGTTGTCATGAGACCACTCTCAAACATAACCAAATATAACCTTTGACTCGGGCGATGGCGGTCGAGCTAAAGTCGCTTTTGCGCTCTCTTAGGGAACCTCTTCTACCTGGTGATGCCGATAGACCAAGGAGAGAGCGTCACTGACGACCTCCCTGACCCTCCTACACCCACCGCCAGCCACTTTCCTCAACCTCCACAGGACGTGTCGTCATCACAGACTCAACCGGATGAGGAAAAAGAAGAAGAAGAAGTAGTGGCGGCCAGCTGCCCGGAGTTCATCCAATCAGATTCAGAAACTATGCAAACGGAGGTAGAGTTGGAGGAAGGCGATAATGACAATGACGGTGAGGATGAGGAAACGGGCCCAGCGGCACAACAGAGTCACGTGATCAGAAACGCGGATGAGATTTTTCTCACCATCGAGGGCTTGATGAGCAAGTTGCACAAGCTGAAGGTGAGTTTTGCTTCTTCTGTTGCCCTGTGGAGGAACCAAGACGATCCGGTTCAAACGGCAGCGTTCAGAAGCTCAAACTTTTTCAGTTTACAACCAAAACATTGAGAATTGAACTGGTTGGGTTGGATTGCATTTAGGTGAGGTTGAACACATTCACCGATTAAGCTTTTTGTTGTAGAAACAGTTTTTTTTGCCTCTGCCTTAATTTAAAATTTGCCCAAATTTTGTCATTTGCAGCAAAGAAATAAATAAAAGTTAAAGTATATGCTGAGATTTCAGGATATGCTGTAATCTGAGGAGTACTATATTAGGTTATTAGGATGAAATATGATTTCATAATCTCAGTGTAGAAAATCTTGGGACAGTGTTGACATAGGAAAATAAATTCCATTTAAACTGTATTTTAGCGAGACATAAACTTTATAGTGCGGGACCAGAGACGTGTCGTAACATTTCAAGGCTTACATGAGTTTTAAGTTGGACAAATTCTTCTTGAGGGACATTAATTTTTACAGATTTTTCTTGTCAGTTGCAATCGAACTCAGAGTAATATTACCAGTGTTGCTGTAGGGATTTTAGTTAGCAAAATCTGAAAACTTGACCTCATAATGACCTACTGCTAAATGTATCTCATGCAACTCCCCCAATAGCTAGAATTAAACTATTGTATTGACAATAAATACCAGTAATATAAGTTAAGTTGAAAATATATGAAAGATAATGCAGTCTGAAAGTTCTTTAACTTCCTCATGTTGGAATTTCTTCTTCTCTGTGTAACGAATGAATGTGATTCTGTTTAGATTTTGGGTTCGTTTGCAGAAAGGCACTTAAGAACAGTCCCCGATGTTTGCGTTGAGTATTGATGTTTCGATTCCTTTGCAGGAAATCGAGAAGGCCCATCACAAGCTGCTAGACTCTCTCAGAGATCCCTCCCTGAGCCAGGAGTCGGAGGACCAGCCGTGTTGCTCTGCAACCGTCTCCAGGACGCCGTCCATGGACCGCAGCTCAGGAGACGGTTTGTGAGCGCCATTATTTAAATGTTTGGCCTATTTTTTCTTCTTTAAAACTTATTGCTCTGCATATCTAAGCTTTTTTTTTTTTTTTTTTTGTGGTTGTGTTTGCACCTAAACAGGTAAGGAGGGAAACCCGGGAGATCTCAGAATCCTCTCAACCGGATTCTGAGTGGATTCGCTCGCTGTCGACTGATCTCCACACGCGTCTGTAGGCTGAACACTAAAACGGCCGGCGGACCTAAACACACATCTCATTTTACAATGGGAGACGGCACGATGGAGATAGATTATTATTTTCCAAGGATGGAAGTCTGGAGAGAGTGAGACAGAGAGAGAGAGAGAGAGAAATGGGAAGAAAAAACAGACAGAAGAAGGAAGTTTGAAGAACTTGAAGTTTTTGGGGGAGAAAAAAAATGACCAAGTTGGATTCTTGTGAAGGAAAAAAAAAGAGACTTTTTACGTTGTGTTTTGTAGACCTGGTTGAAGAAGCGGAGCAGAGAAGTGTTGAAATGTTAATGTAAGGAAATGTTCCTAGGGACCCGTCACCCCAGCACTTTACCCATAATGCATCTCTCCCCCCAAACACAGCGCTCCCCAGTCGCGTTCGGACCCGACTGGGGAGCAAGACGACAGTATGTTTCACGGCCGAAGGACTGTGTCTGAGTAATTCAGGTCTTTTTTTTTCTTTTCTTTTCTTTTACTTATTGCACTGCGTAAGAAAAACCATAAGTCACATGAACACAAGGACCACTCAACTCACTAAATCACTGTGGAAAACCCTTTGGTTTCAGCTTTCAGTGAAGCTACAGGAAGGTAAAACTGTTGCATTATTTCACTTTTTTTTTTTTTTTTTTTTTTTGCTTTGTGGAAACACTACTGCTCCATTTACTACTGAAGAAACAAAAAGCAGGTAGGTTTTAATTTTCTTGCTTCCACGGCGTAAAGGGATCTCCGCAGACTCACACAGCTGCTCACATCATGCCAGGTTGCATTATTCGGGGAGGTTTATATTCATGTGTCATAACCAAATTTTGGCACTGTCGGTGTTGTATCCTACGTCTGGAGTTTGGTTTAAACATGAGGGAAAACTTTGAGTTGTTCATACTGCGGTAAAGTCGAGTGTAAAGTTGTTAGGGAGAAGCTTGGGAAAAAGCTTTGGGAGAAAAAACTATTTTTTTATCTTCCAGTAAATACACTTGGTTTTGTGCATGTTAGCCTGTTAGCTTAAATCTGGAAGAAGTCACATGTAAAAGAAATTTGAGAAAAAAAATAACAAAATACACCCGTGAGTACCTCAGAAGCTCACTTGTTTACTTTATACAGATAATAACCCAACGCATCATAATGTGGTAGTTACTGTTAGCTGTGAATTTCAGTACATTTTCAACAGAACTTGCTCAATGCTTTGCGTTAGCGGCGTGGTTCTGGTTTTGTGAAGTAGGGTTCTGTGCAGTCGGTACTTGATGCAGACTGAAAACAAGCCTTTTGGGTTTTCATATTTTTGATAAGTCATTGGTAGCAGATCAACTATTGCACTTGCAAATGTCAAACGCAAACGTAGCAGCTGTTTAGGTGTGAGCAACAACCGCTACATTTTTTGAGATTCTGGTTTTTATATTATGGCGGGAATTTACTTTAGTCTACATCCATCTTTGATTAGTGTTTGGATCGTATGTGACCCAGCTGCAGGTCGGATACTGACCACTCATAACTGCTTCACATTACCCCCACTGAAAAGGGAAAAAAATGGCTGACATTTTTCTACACAATTATACAAATATCAAGCTTGAAGCAGTGATGATTACCAGCATAATTATTATTTTTATTTGTTTATAATTTTTCCATTTTTTGGCGTGTAACTAATACAAGTTTGAGCAACCTCCTGCTAAAACGTTTCCTCATATTAGCATTTCACATCAAATTACACTTTCGCCATTTTCACCCATTTTGGTCTATCCTACTTCCGGAAAACCACAAAAAAAGACATTTCATACCCATATAACTAAAACTATATATCGTTTTATTTATACATAATCTTAAAAATGATCAAGTCAAAGAGGGTACGAACTGACACAGTCAGTAAATGGAAGTGGGGTGCATAACTAAAATTAAAAACTTAGGAAATGGCGAAGAGGCCAAGCGACAAGCACACGTCAGCATGTAGCATCTAGCTACATCCAAGTAAAATCCGACGTTAGCATTTAGCATCAAGCTACATCCAAGTAAAATCCGATGTTAGCATTTAGCATCAAGCTACATCCAAGTAAAATCCGACGTTAGCATGTAGCACCAAGCTACATCCAAGTAAAATCTGACATTAGCATGTAGCATCAAGCTAACGGTGAGCTTGCTGAAGATTTATGTTGTTTACCTTTATATGCCTGGTGTAAAGACAAAAACTATTCCTGGAGCTCCCTTTGGAGTTTTTTTGTTTTGTTGTTATTTTAATTTTATTTAATATATGTAAATAAAATTAAATTAGTTTGGTACTGGGTGAGACCTGAACGCAACATCAAGAGACGCTAAAACCAAGTGCTTTTCTCCTTTATTATTTTAATCAAATCTCACTAATACATGCTACATATTCTTTTCTTACTAATTTATATTTTTTCTTTACATTTCTCACAGAGGTTTATCCAAAACTCACTGGAAGGGTTTATTTCTGAGCTGTTATTATTATTGGAAGTGATCTCCATCTTCCAAACACACTGCAGCGTCCTCCAGTGTGTTGTCAGAAATTGGTTTCCTTTCTGGTGGCGTTTACACTCTCTGAAGGAAGAACAGGAAGGTGGTAGCATGTGTATACATATATGAAATGAAGCTGAAATAGAAAATTAAAAAAAGAGAGACAGAGACAAATTTTTATTGCAGCTGATCCTGAAAAAACTTGCAAACGGAAATGTTGGAAAGTGATTTACCAAAGTGAGGTGTTGAAGGGAAAAAATTTTTGTTTTACTTACCATTTTTGGCTGCTGGGGATTTTTTTTTCTCTCCAGCGTCACATACCAGCAGTGGGATGTTTTTGTCAGACCTCAGTTTTGAAAATTCAGCACAAAAACACCCGCCCTCAAGAAAAAAAAAAAAAAAAAAAGAAAACCCATGATCCTCGCTGGTCTGAATCAGCTGAATCTGGATCAGTTTCCATCTAAATATCTTTCATTTCGTCTTTTCTCCTCTCTGTCTCTACTACTCAACTAAGTGGTTGTATTTCCTGTTTCTACCTCTACACTTTGTATCTTCCTTTTCATTGTATTAACTTGTACATTGACATCAATGTTGTGACCCTAACTGGCTGAATTAAAGACAGCTCAAACTGATTACCTTTTTTTTTTGACAAAAAAGAATATATATATATGTTGCACAGATAAATTTCCCTGCACAGTGCAAACTACTGTATGCATAAACACATTATTAATTTCCATATCATTGTCTTTATTTGGTCTCATCAGTCATGTGTAATATAGAGAAATCCAACCCACTTGTTTTATAATATTTTTTCTGTTCTGTAAAGCCTTAGTTCTTGTATTTGATTTTATTTTTGTAGACATGATTTTAATAAAAGGATGTATAAATTATTTTCTGTTTTTTTTCCCTTGTTTTGTTTTGAGAGATGGATGAGTTTGTTAGCTGCACAGAAGGCAAGCAGATTTTTGTTTCTGGTTTATGTGTTTTTTGTGAGATTAAAATGATGAAACTGGAAAAAGAACATTCCTTGTGTGAATTCCTTTTTTCATTGGTTAAAAAAAGGGTTTTCTTTTAATGAAAAAAATATTCCTTATGCTTTTAGTCGGTGCTTTTGCAGTTGGCACATAAAAGAGCTGGGGATGAACTGGGTGATGTGCTCAGCAGAGCAGAAAAGCGTCCATCTTCAACCAACAGTCCAGAAAGAACCGGATATGCACCTTCAAAATAAAACCGAAACGTTTGCGAAGGACACAAGCAAAAAAAACACTAAAGACCCTGGATGAGTCTGATTGTGACGTAATTACGTACAGATTTAAGCCAGCGCGCGCGGCATCGATGTGGCATCTGCCAGAGTATCTGACAGTCATTCAAAGATATTGTCCATAATATTATCTTGCATTTATTCTCCCGTGGTTTTGCTGGAGCGCCATCACGACATGGCGCTGCCTCCGCCATGTTTGTGGGAACAGCTTGTTCACGGTGTTCAGTGGAAGTTCTTCAGCACTTTTACGGTATTTTGCGAACCAGAACCTTCTGTCTTGGTCTATATTGGACCAGAACCTGCACATTTGCTGTGTGTCATTTGTGAGTGGTGGGAAAACTGCGAACAGGACTTCCTTTGGACGGTGTTCATCGAGTTCACACGGAGACACGTTGACGGCCATGTTTTGTTGGGTGACGCGCTGTGACTCTCATGCAGCAAGTTTCAACATTTCAGTTTGAAAAGCACGAGCTTTATTTTCGGTCTACAATGACCAAACTTACACATTCAGCTGGCGAAAAGCAATAATAATAGTAATAATAATAATAATAATAAAATGGAGGTTAGAACGAGTCCAAACGTGAACAACCACTGCACTGTATTGACGAACTGATTCAGGGAGAAAGATAAACACAATGTATTTGTCTCACTGAGGCAGTGACGTCCACGACTTGCCGTAAACTTCCAAGAGGGCTTTTAATTCCAAAGCCCCTCACCGGAAGTGGCATGTGAACCCAGTTTCACCTCGACGCTGCTCCGCCCGGCGTTGTGTCGTCCACCCATCCAGACCCAGCGGGACTCCGGGACACAACAGATGCGCGAGCCCCGGGACGCGGCGCTGGCAGCAGCCTGTTGAGGCGACGTGGTTTCTTTCTACCTGAGGGACTCGGGGCAGATTTCCCTTGGGAAAGAAAGTCAACCGATTGTTGCGCTGTGGGCTTTGCGGCTCATTTGTTATTTTCTGCTTAACGTGTCGTTGGAAACTGCGCGGACTGATGAGAAAGGACGTAAACTGAGGGACAAAAAAGGTGGACGCCGCTGCTAATTTGCTCTTTGTGTCGGAGGCGTCTTTCTTCTTCTTTTATTTTGAGCAGTAAGGTAAGACCACCCTGCGGGGCTTCGAGGCATGTCTTCTCCATTTAGGCTGCTTGGTGTCACAAGTTGCAATATGAAAACTTCCCACAAGTTGAGAGTTGTCGCACGTTTTCACCTCTTTCAATTATTATCTTCGCCCTGATCTGCCAGTCGCAAACTTCACTGCGGCTGGACAAGAACATTGTTTGCAGGCGTTCTGGTGGCGCTCACTGACGCGCACTGGGTGCGCGTGGATTTGCGCACCGCGCAGTTTTTAAACGACCTTTGTATTTCGTGGGGTTTGGTCTCCACGGCGGCCGCAGGCGCCTTTCCGGCTCGGGTTTGTTTAGCGAGTGGCTGCATCCAACCGCATCACTAACACGTTGGGTGTGTTTGCTTTGTCTCAAAAGGCAACTCTGCCAGTGCGGTCCCAACGCAGGGGCGGGGCGGGGCGAGGTGGGGTGGAGTGGCACCCTCGCAGGACGCACTGTGGATGGTACTTTTTTCCCCCCCTCAATATGCACACCTTAAGGGAAGAGAAAGCATGTTTTGAATGAGTCGCATAATGTTCATGTTTGTGTCATTAGGATTCCAGAGAGAGCTCCTTAAAGGACTAAAGGTGGCTAAATATCTGTGTGTCTTTATTTAACCAGGAAGAAAACTCTTTGAGGTTAAAAATCTAATTTACAAAAGTGCCTGGGCTATGCAAAACAATATGAAAACAAGACCGTTTCTACAATATAATGTGATGTTTTTGTGCTTTTGTTTCTAATGATGCCCTGGGCAACTGCCCAGTGGACTCATTTCAAAAATTGCCACTGTTTCCTACTCAGAAGGTGAATGATTGGAGCTGCATAGCTATCCCCTGGCAATAAACAAATAATTATTTAACATTGATTTCATTATTTATTTATATATATATTTTTGCAAACCTTTCTTCTTTTCAAATCTTTGAGTGTCAATATTATTTCTCTGTTTTTTGTGACTTTCTTTTAAGGTTTGACTCAAGTGTATACGTGGGTATCATAGTTAGTCATGGATTTCCTCCAAGTCACTTCAGTGTAAAATTGTACACATTCCTTCATGAGATAAATCAAAACCTTTCTTTTTGCCATTCATAGAGCTCATTTTAAATAACCAACCTCCCACCTGTATGTATGTACAGCAGTGACATAACGGTGACAACTTTCTGGTAGTCAAATGAATAAAACAAACACTACTTTTATCCACACATTTTGCTGTCAGTGGACCACTTTTAATTCACTTGCATTTCGTCAAGAACGTCAGAACGCAAAAAACGAACCAGTCAAATGGAAAATCATCATCGCTGGACAATTCCTGTGTACATCTGTAAACGGCTGTGTTCGATATTTAGCTTCCGCTTTCCCAGTGAGCATTGAATGCTGATCTTGGTATCCAATGGGAATCAATATGTTTTGAATGAGCCAGGAGAGGAGAAAGCTTGCTGCGCCAATCACTAGGATTGACTCCATCGTGACTCAACGAGAGCCAGAGAGAGAACAGAGGTGGTTTTGCTAACCGTCACTTTGCAAGACGGTTGTGCTAAACTCACGAACACTCAGAGATCATTTCTCGCTTACAAGTACCTAACATGTTATTATCATGTCCTTGACCTTGAAATGCAAGTCTTTTTGTAACAGGGATAAACATCTAGATTTATTGTAGCTACTAAATGCACTTCCTGACAGTCTAATTGAACCAGTACTCCAATATATGAGCATATTTCTGAACTGCAGCAAAGCTCTAAATATAATTTCCGTGTCATTCTTGGGAAACTGGGTTCTTAGGTCAATGGCATTTCTATTTTTAGCCACAAAATAATAGGAGCACTCTGATTTGTGTGACGCTGTGCAATGGTGGAGCTTTTTTTAATCCTTTGTTTTCACCATGAAGTCCTTCATTTACCATTTTTGTCCAATTGCAGCATTAAAAAAAGACAGAGAACTGGCTCCTAAGTTTTGTCAGCAAAGGGAGTCTTGCAGGTTTACATTGAAAATCTGTTTATCGACATGCAACATCCTGCATTTTAAGGCATTCTTCAAATATCATATTGCTTTAAAATATATATATATATCACTTAAAATGGAAAGTCCTTCAGTTGTGTCTCAATTCTTCAGATTTTCTCTCCAATAAATTGTTGTAAATTGTCTATCCTCCTCCCCGATTATTCTTGTTCCTTTCACAGAAGGCAGCTGAGGTTCCATTTTGTTTTTTTTGTAGACATTTCATCAATAATTCGGAAAATTTAAATTTTTGTAATTTCTGAACATAAATCAGAAGTTTCAAGCTTGGAAATCGCAGTCAGAACTATAATCGCACTGATATAGTCGCTAAAGTCACTAATTGGACTGTGAAGTTGATGAGTCCTGGACCCTACCATCTAATCTACTCGATGTCTGGAACATTGCCACTTTATTATGCCAAAACCTGAATTGTTTGGGTCACGTCTCGAAGTGCGAACGGCTGTAAAACAGACGAGTCCTTAAAGGAACCTATTAGTGCGGTTGTTCCTACTGCAGCAAATGAACCCAATACTTTCAACCCATCCTCAAATCTGACTAAGCACTTTGCATGGGAGATAAAATGTCTTCAGGAATTGAGAGAAGTCCATTTGGCTTTCAACAGACAAGTCCTTTTATGAAGAGGTCTAAATCATTGGTTCCATTTTGAAGGTCTTCCAAGTCTTTTCTTGAACTGTAGCTACTTTTACCCTCATTTTCTGTCCAGTACTTGTATCTGAATGTTTAAGAGGAACTCATTAGACTTTTCTAAGCCCCCAGGCCTAAACTGTCTGCTTAATTTGAACTAAGAGCCACCTATGAAAACCATTAACCAAAAATGAAACAAGAGGACTAAGCCGAGCATAAAATGTCATCATCAAGGGAATCTCCAAAGAGCCATTGGGATCCTGCTTCACTAGTTTTATTTTATTTTTTTGCTTCTCCTGGTGGCATTATCGGAGGTCAGATACCATAATTATGTCACAAAATGTGCTAAAAATGTGATTGAGTGTAGAAAAAGTCATTTTAACAATTCATACCCGACTTTCTGTCTGTGGAGTTTTGTGCCCAATTTCTGTCATTTGAAGTGGATTATGTGTTTGTTTGATTATGAGAAACCCAAAATAGAAACTGTAATATTCCCCCTGAGAATGAATACTCGGGTGAATTGAGTACGTTGTAGTCCAATTCACCTGAAATGTTTTCCGCTATGCCACTCTCTTCTTTGCTGAACTTCCCTGGATGGAATCCCACGTGGGAATCACATGAAATCCCTCAGCGCAAATTGAAGAGTCCGATATAGAAAGCAGAAACAGGAGGTTAGGGCACAAATGAGAAAGCACGAGGACGTTGGTTATTAGATTAAAGGTCGGTTTGTAAAGTATCAAGACAACAACATGAGTCCTGTCCTGACAAAGACTGAATATTAAAAAGACAGAAACTGGATCAGATTTGGAAGATGAAGTCAAACGCGTCCTTGAACTGGAGTCCGATTCACAGCTCTGGTGAAAGGATTGTCTGTTTTTGTTTTCTGGGGATGTGTATAGCTGAGGGGGTCGAGGGGGAGATGGAGCGCTGAGTTGTTGTTCTGGTATCCAGGACGACACCCCACCACCTCCCTCCTTTTGTCTTTTCTCACCCCCATTCATCCCCATTGTAGTAGCT